CGGTTGCTTCATGAACAGTATTATCGTATCACATTTAAGTTTTGTGGGTTGTCATATTTTCGTTTGTGGTGAAAATTCCTTTATTTTTTATTTTTTGTGTGTTTTAAATGTTATAGATCTCTTTCTTCAATGTTGTTATATGCAAATTTACATAATAGCGATTACAAATTAGACGGATATTCACATTGGTGGTCGAGGTCGTGGTGGTCTCATTGGATAAACACTTTCCACAAATGCTGGGGTCTGGAAAGAATTGTCATCGCTGCTTCCATCCTTCAATATTAGAAGAACAAATTACCATTATCATATTTGTAAAATAACTAAATAGATGCTTCATAAAGATAAATTGTTAAACCAGGTATTGAGAACGTTGATGGTGCATATTGTAAGGAATATTTGAATGTGTCACCACATTCATGTCGACAAGACTGTGCTCCGATGACATTGGAGAAAACTGGGGAACGTAGCTTCTGCTGCCCACATTGTCGGAACCACTTGCTGATTGCTTAGAATTAACTTTACCACGAGAACCCGCTTTTGGATTAAGCTCACAAGTGGTTGTCTTGTGTCCAGGTTTCCTTAAAAATTCTCAAATAAACTATTAGAAATAATACTCAACTCAAATTTATGTATTTATATAAAATAGATACGTATTGAACTAACCAGCAAAACGAGCATAACTGCTTCTTTCGTATGGATCCTCCTTTTGAAATAATCTTACAAGGATCTACCACATTTCTAGGACGTTTGACACTATGAATTGTATCCTCACCGTCAGAATGTAGTTGTGAACAAGATTCATCATCCTCGTCAGTGGGGGTGATATTAAATTCAATCCCATCCTCCCTCATCTTAACACGCCCACTGGTGTAGAGGTTGTTCGTCTGCTGATACGAGAAAACAGATGATGTGAGCCGCTTGCCAACATCGACAAACCACCGGGAATTGATGCTTTTAGCCGGAAACTGATTCAGTTTTCAGATGCTTCAAGCAACATATGAGATGCCGGCAAGTTATACCATCAGATTCGAGCATCTTACAGTCACATAAGAATTCTTCCTTATCCAAATCGACGACGGCCATCAATTTGTCCGTCGGGTCGAAGTTGTGGTCTTCGAAATTGAATGTATGCCGGTGACCTACACTATCAGATCTTCTAATAATATTTATGTTTGCCTCCTCCTTCAATTGAATCCGTACAAGCTTAAGAATGACTGTGGTGCAGATGCGTGCGGCATGGCCCTCAAGACGGCCTACTAAACCTTTACCAGATTGTTTTGATTGAACCTCGGACTCTCTCTGCATTTCGTCAAACCTTTTTTGAATTCTATTCAGGAAGCTTTTGTGGTATTGTCTGAAAAAATCTGTAAGTGTGGAACCAGCACGCACTTTTTGTTTTAGTGAGGCATTCATTGACTCCGCACGTTGTGTGCTCCTCAACATAGCAAAGAATTGGCCCCGAAAAAATGATTCTGCCCATTGACTGCGTTTTTCGTAAAGATCAGCTAGGTAAGGATCGTCTGTAAGACCAAATTTAGCAATCAATGCAGACCACTTATCTTCGAACTCGGGTATGGAGAAAGGCATATTAATTAAATTGGAATATTCTGTCGAGAAGCCTGACTTTTTTATGTTTGATTCGACACTACGTGAAATATGCCAGCAACAAAGACGATGGGTTGCCTCATGAAACACAATCCTAATGGCCGCGCGCATTGCCCCGTCTTGATCTGTCAAAACAGCTTTGGGTGACTTTCCTCCCATGAATTCTAGGAAAGTCTGCAGCAACCATGTGTATTGTTGATTCGTCTCCTTGTACATAATAGCAACTCCAAAAATACATGTGCACAGATGGGAGTTGACTCCGGAGAACAACACTACTGGAAAACGATACATATTGCACATTGCCTCTTTAAAATATTATTTGTTTCATGATGCCCATCAAAAATTAGTTTTTAGGAAAAAATGGGGTAAACCCCATAACTATGTGTTATGGAAAACCTACATCAAACCCCCATGTGTTATTTTTATTTCGTAGAATTCCCTGTGTTTTATTTTTTATTACATGAAATCTCTTATTCCTTTAACAATTGACATCGTTAACTATTAAGGGGAATTAATGCAAGTTTTTCATAAGACAAGGGGATTTGGTGCATGTTATTTATAATAAAAGTGAAATTTATGCAAAAAATATTTATTTATTTAGAATTTGAATTTCTTTTATAAATATTTATAGCAAAACTAAATTCAAATTTTCGTATTATTTGTAATCTTTTGACATATAATACATCCAAGCTAAATTACATAAATATATAACAGTTTTCATATTATAAATATATAGTTTTAGGAACATATTATTTTTAAATACATTAATAAATTAAGATTTTATCCAAAATTGAAAATTTCCAAAATTTTATTTACTTCTAGTTTTGATGTAATTTTTTTTAAAAATCGAATAAAATTTTGGAAATAAAAATGAGAAAAATAAAATGTTCTAAATTAAAAAAAAAAAATTGGAAATGGAAAAAAATTAAGAGCAACTCCAATGGGAGTATCAAATGGATCATCAAATCCATAAACCACCTTTTTGATATTTCAAAATTAAAAATTTCCACTCCAATGGGAGTATTAAAATGAGTAAGTATTTTGATATTCTACCTCTTTGAATGTAAAAATACATCCCGGAAATTGAGTTATCAAAAAACTAACTACCTAAACATCCAATCAAAAAATGATACGTGGCAATTACAAATAAAACCACTAAAAAACTTCCAATTGATTATTGATTTAGATAACCATGGTTGGAGTAAATAAATTGTAAATGGATATTAAAATATTATCTTAATTATCAAATGAGTATTTGATAATCCAATTTTGATGTTTAGCATTGGAGTTGCTCTAAGGCCCCTTCTTTTTCTTTACATGTTGATAAATTTGACCGAAACAATTCAAGTTTTAAAAACCGTTCCCATTTTTCACCCAAAACTTCAAAATACATTTAGGAGGTTGAAATCTTTGAGACAAAATACATTTCAAAAAGCAGGGACAGAGTTCAAAAAAATTGGCAAACAGTTCCCATTTTTCACCCAAAACTTCTTCAAAATCAGTCAATGTCTTCCTCCTGGATTACTTGAGGTGTGTGTGGAGTTCTCTGCGCATCACTTCTTTCCTAGATAGACAAGAAATCAAGAATCAAGAGTCAAAATACAGAGATTTTACACAATTAAATGAACACAGATTTAATTCATGTTATTTTCCCTTAACACGGGAGCTATATGCAGTTTATACCCCTTAAAAAATAGTATGTTTTTTTTATTTTTTTTGAGTAAATTCAAATCCATTACAAGGGGAATAGGGGAGGCGGACTCGAACCCTAGACCTCTTTATCCTAATTGGTAAGGCTAGGTACCAACTTTCGGCTTAATGAGGGTTGGTAAAAAATAGTATGTTAAATGGGCCGACAACAAATTAAATTGACAAGTAGTGGGTAATAACTTGCTACTAAGAACAGATCTGAATATTAGGCTAAAAAAGCTTCGCGAGCTGCTTAGCTAGAAAATCCATCATGCCACCCAACATAGTACATATGTAAAAAAACAAATAAACGAACCTTCACCAGGTTCCTTTAATACTTGAGGGATAAGAACATCTACTAAAGCGGAATCCGACACAAGAGAAGCTTTCAATATGCTCAAAGCCTACACCAAACAAACAAGTGATCTCGTTATATATCAACATGTACAATAATCAAACATACTTAAAGTGAATACTCGCAGTATGACATATACCTCTTCCAAACCAATCTCGATCTCAAGTTCTTTGACATCACATGAAGGGATTTTCAGCTGCTCGAGAATGGGCCCGATAGACGAGCTAATACAATCTATCACCATTAAATGAGGTAATACTATGTACATTTGATTTTGTACCTTAATATAGCATCCCTCACCTTTGGGGTCCTTAACGCACATCCAATAACCTTTTTCTACACATGTGTTCGACGAACCTGTAACCGTATGACTTTCAAAGTAATATATACTAGGCGTGGTTTGTTCGGTGAGAGGGAAGATCTGATATTTGGAGAGATATTTGGGAGGAAGCTCCGGTTTGATCAGCCTATTTCTTGTACATTGACTTGTCATATATTTCTCGTCTATCAGTTCAGTTATGCTTCTGTACAAATTGTCGATGTTCCTAAGTGATGTGTTGCCGTCCAAAAGATACTCAACTGCTCCCAAAGGGATGGTGAGCAAACTAAACAGGAAGTCGATAAAATCTGTTCCGGCTTTATAAAACAAAAACTCATTGGTTGATATTTGTACAACGGCTTTCACAATCATCCTCTTGGAATTCGATTTGGACCCTTGCTTTATCCGATGATGTAAATCGTTCCCCCTTACACTTGCCATTTCATTTGTTTGATGGAGAATAAGGTCTGTCAGTGGAGTCTTAGAGAGTAGAGATCCCTTGAGCAATTCCATAATCTTAACGACAAGGTAAACAGTAAAAGACATAGACAAAAGATTTCAAGAAAGACGAATTTATCAACATAATTAATTAAAGGGT